GGGCTACGGGGCCTCCCACCCCCCGTTCATGGGGTACCCCCCGGGTTACCCCATGCAGTCCTACGTGGACCCCACCAACCCCAACGCCGGCAAGGTGCTGCTCCCCACGCCCAGCATGGACTCCATGTGCTCGCCGGCCTCGTACGAGCCCGCGCAGACCCTGGTGGGCCACGCCATGGAGCCCAGCCTGGCTGCTTCACAGCCCATGCCCGTGGTCCAGCATGTGGCAACCCCCATGGAGGTGTCCACGCCCCAGTACGTGGCCCCGAGCGACCCCATGGTCCACCAGGAGCCCAGCGTGGCTGTCTTGCCAGTAGCGGCGCCTGGTCCGGTCCAGGGACAAAGCTACGGCATCTGGGACTCCAGCCAGACGACCGTGGCGGTGCAGCCCCCCTACTCTCCGGCCCAGTCTCAGCCCGCCATCTATTACCAAGGACAGGCCTGTCCGACGGTCTATGGCGTCACCTCGCCTTATTCGCAGACCACACCGCCCATCGTGCAGGTAATCCCGCCAGGGTGAAGGTGTGGCAGAATTGGGCCCAGTCCTCTGCCTGGGTGGCCTTTTGGGGAGACACTCAAAACGGGGCTGACCAGTGCTTGCCGAGGCCATCTATAGGTCGTCCTCGAGTTACAAACACAATTGAGACCAGAATTTCCATCGCTAAGCAAGATAGCGGGGGGCGGGGGGGGAGAGTCGTGCCCTGATTTTTCTGACCTTTTTCTGCCACTGTTGTTAAACGAGTTGCTGTCTTTAAGTGAGTCATGTGGTCAGTAAGCAAATCCACCTTCCCCCATTGACTTGGCCTGTCGGAAGGTCGCAAAAGGGGATCATGTGACCCTGGAACACTGCGACCGCCATAAATATGAGTCGGTTGCCAAGCGTCCGAAATTCGATCACGTGACCATGGGGGGGGTGCTGCAACGGTCCTAAGTGTGGAAAAATGGTCATAAGTTGCTTTTTTCAGTGCGGGTTGTAACTTCAAACGGTCACTAAACGAACTGTTACAAGTCGAGGACGACCTGCAGGCAGACTGATTTTTGGAAATGTTCCTTTTGTTTCTTGCAGAGTTACGCCCAGCCAAGTCTTCAGTACATCCAAGGACAACAGATTTACACCACCCATCCTCCCAGCGTGGTGGTGCAACCCACGACCGCCGTCACCACTATTGTCACCACCGGGCAGCCCCCGCCAATCCAACAGGTAGAGATGGGAGGAAGCTGGTTCATTCCGGCCCTTGGTGCTGTCAGGCTTGCGAGATGGTGTGCCACTTAGGAAGGTTATAGTTTCCTCCGTCTCCGTTGTTAAGCAAGGACTTGGTCGGCTGTTAAATGAGGACCTCACAGGGCAGGAGTTTCCGATTTCCCGCCGGCTTTCCCACTGACTTTGTTTATGGGAAACCCAGCCGGAAAAATCACACGTGACCTTGGGTCAAGTTGTTGAGTAACATTTGTTCAGCGCTGTCACAAGTTCAAGTGGGTGGTTGTTAAATGAGTAGTTGTTAAATGAGGATCCTCGGTCTGTTGGAGAGTCTTTATTTCCTAATCTGGTCTGCTTTGTAAATTGGACAGTGGCCCACAGAGCAGACTGTGGTTTTTGCGAACGTGACTGCTTGAAGATGCGTGAGACTTCAACTCCCAGAATTCCCTAGCCAGCATGGCTGGCTGGGGAATTCTGGGAGTTGAAGTCCCACGCATCTTCAAGGGGCCAAGATTGAAAACACTCCCTTACACGCTGTTGTGTAAAGTGTTTCGGCTTACCCTCCCCAGCAGTGGAAATATTCCTAAAAAGCTTCCTGTCCTGTGTCCTTTTTAATTATAAAATATAAGTATAAAATAGAAATATTGAAGTTTTTGAAGAAGATTGCTTTGCAGATTGATCTATTTACTCTTCTCCCCCCTTTTCTTCTCCTCCTCTCCCTTCCCTTTTTTCTTTTCTTTGTCTCTCCTCTCTTCCCTTTTTCCTTTTTTCTTTTCTTCCCCTCTCTTCTCCCCCTCCTCTCCCCTTCCTCTTCTCTCTCTTCCCTTCTTCTTCTTCTCTTCACTTTCCTGTTTTTACCTCTCTCCTCTTCCTTCCCACTTCTCCTTCCTTCCTTCCTCCCCTTCCTTCCTCTTTTTTCTCCCTCCCTCCCTCCTCCCCCTCCCCCTCCTCCCTTTCAGCCAGAAATGGTGGTGGCCAACAACCTCTTGGACCTGCCTCCTCCCTCTCCTCCCAAGCCCAAAACCATCGTCCTGCCCCCCAACTGGAAAACGGCCCGCGATCCCGAGGGCAAGATCTACTACTACCACGTGGCCACCAGGTGAGGCAGCTCCCTCCGGCCTCTGATCCGGGGAGGAGACCTGGCTGTGGGCATTTGCCATATTCCGAGTCCCGGCGGGTCCTGTTCCCGAAGACCCCCAACCAGCACACACAGCGTGGTGGGCTTCAGATTGTGTTTTTGGAGCGCTGGGCTGAACCTCCTCTTTCTTTGTGCAGGCAAACCCAGTGGGACCCTCCCAACTGGGACAGCCCAGAGGATGACGCCAGCCTGGAGCACGAAGCCGAAATGGATCTTGGCACACCGACGTACGACGAGAATCCCATGAAGGTGAGTTGGAGCGAAGCTGCCCCTGATAGGCACCGTGCAGGTTTTCTAATCCAAGTTAACAGCCGGCCGCTTAGGGACCTCCGTTCGAATCGCACAACGGACCCGAAATAGGAAATTTAAATGGCCCAGATTCGAAGTTAACGATGCTCAGAAGTGGAGATGTTGCAGAGGATGGAGACTTTTTTTTTTTTTTGTAAAAACAAATGATTAAAACAGATTAATATATTTGGATCGTCATATGGCTGACCTGCTTGATGAGCATTAGGACCTGCGACGATAATGGGGAGGTTCCATTACAGTCGTAAGTCAAGGACTATCTGTAGTGTGAGAACCTCTGTGCATTCCATAGCTAGTTATTAGGGTCCTATAACTACTTATAAGTAGGTAGGTAGCCCGGTCGTACGTTTTTGCAGTTATAAGTCAAGGCATGAGATGAACCCATTCTAAGTTACAATGGATGTTAATGAAACAATGTGGTCATTAAGCGGAACACTGCAGTCGCTAAGTGAAACACTACAGTCGTCAAGCGAATCCACTTTTTCCCAATGGGAAACTGGAAACCAGAAGTAAACACTGGAAAATGGCAAAAAACGTTGCGAAGAGGGAGGGAGAGAGGGAGGAAGAAAAAGGAAGGAAGGAAGAAGAGAAAGGAAAGGACAGACACAGGGCAGAAAAAGGAAGGAGGGAGGGAGGGAAGGAAGGAAGGAAAAGAAAGGGAGGAAAGAAAGGAGGGAGAAGAAAGAAAGGAAGAAAAAAGGAACAAAGGGAGGGAGGAGAAAAAGGAAAGAAAGAAAAAGAAAGAAAGAAACACCGCAAACACACACACCGTAAAGATGAACTGGCTGCTAAGCACTCCGAATACAGTCATTGTACAGTGTGTATTTGTGTTGAAAAGGAGCCATAAACAGCTCTTGGGAGGTATGTCATAACTTTGAGCGGCTCATCGTAAGTTGAGGACCACCAGTAAAATCTCCTTGTAGAGAAAATATAAATACAGAAAACTCCTCTAAACTTTGCCAGTCTCCAGTCTTCGCAAGTTCACGGCTTGTGGACTTCCACTCCCAGAATTCCCCAGCCAGTAAGGTTGACTGGGGAATTCTGGGAGTGGAAGTCCACAAGCCTTAAAGAGGCCAATGGTTGGGCACTCCTGCTTATGATTGAGCTTCAACCATAGGATCACTGAGGCTCTGGTTTGGCCCACATGTTTCGTTTTCAGTCACGGAAACCTCCCCCGCCTTCCTTCCAGTTGCACTTCCTCTGGAGTTGTTACCAGATATTTAAAAAATGGAAAATGCAAATAAAAGAATAAGCCATGAAGTAACTCTTGATTAAAGTTAGTTGCCTTATAGGGGAGATGGGCAGCACAAACCTTTAATAATAAAAAAAATGAATAATAAATTCCCAAAGCAAACAGTCATAAATCTCTGGCTTCTCCCAGTTGCCTGTTCCTCTTTGGGGGGGGGGGGAAGAAACCCCTTCATTATTTGTAAAATCACAACAGGTTTTTTCCCCCCATAACGATTCTCTGATTGCGGCGCTCTCTTCCCAGTCTTCCAAAAAGCCCAAAACTGCTGAGGCAGACACTTCCAGCGAACTGGCTAAGAAGAGCAAAGAGGTCTTCCGTAAAGAGGTGAGCTCGTTTTCATTTTCTATTTTCTATTTTATTCATATCCTAACTCTGGTATTTTTAATCAATAACTGAAGGTGGCAAAGGGACCTTCCTCATCCCATTTTCCCCACCACAAGCAGCCCTGGGCTGAAAGAGCGCGACTGGCCCAAAGTCCCCCAGATGGCTTTCACGCCTAAGGGGCAGGACTAGAACTCCCCGTCTCCTGGCGATTGGGTCAAAGTCACCCAGCCGGCCTTCGTAGTTAAGGGAGAGCTAGAACTCCCCGTCCCCTAGGGATTGGCCCAAAGTCCCCCAGATGGCTTTCACGCCTAAGGGGCAGGACTAGAACTCAACTGGGTGACCAGCCCAACTGCAGGGATTCTGCCAGGGCTGCCTCTACTCAAATCCTTGGAGGGAAGATATCCCTCCGGTCTGTGGAATTAGAGATAACGGTGCTTTTACTGGGGAAGAAGTGACCGAGATTAATTCAGGCAGGATCTGAGGCAAAAGGGAGCGAAGCCTCAAGTTGGACTAACCCCAAAATCCCACACATCGAGGGAAGGGCGGGAGGGGTGTTACTACGCAAAGGACAGAAATTGTTTTGGGGAAGCCTTTTCCCTCCTTTGAAGAAGCGTCCTTGAAGAGATAAGCAGGGGCCAAGCTGGGAGGAATGTCCTCCATCTCCCCCCCCCCCACAGTTCCTCCCCCTCCCCTGAATCTGCCATGAAGGGGCCAAAACACCCTTAACAAACGCTTCACTCTGGCAACACAAATTTTGGGTCCCGTGCAGAGTTTCCCATCGCCTCTCTCTCTCTCTCTCTCTCTCTTTGCTCCCCCACCAGATGTCTCAGTTCATTGTGCAATGCCTGAACCCCTATCGCAAACCTGACTGCAAAGTGGGGCGCATCACCACAACGGAGGACTTCAAGCACCTGGCACGCAAGGTGAGGGGGGGCCCTTCCGGAAAACTCTCTCGGAGCCTCCCCAAACAAGCCAGCTTAGTAGTCACCTCCCCTCCCCCCCCCCCAGGTTTATGAGGCATAGATGGCATCTTGGCAAAGGGGGGGGGATCAAGCTTTTCTTTTCTTTCTTTCTTTCTTTCTTTCTCCTTCCTCGTTTCTTGTTTCTTTCTTTCTTCATTTCTTTCTTTCTTCATTTCTTTCTTCATTTCTTTCTCTTTCTCCTTCCTCGTTTCTTGTTTCTTTCTTCCTTTCCTCCTCTTTCTTTCTTTCTTCCTTTCTTCCTTTCTTTCTTTTTCTCTTTCTCCTTCCTCATTTCTTGTTTCTTCCTTCCTTTCTTTCATTTCTTTCTCTTTCTCATTTCTTGTTTCTTCCTTTCTTCCTTCCTTCCTTTCTTTCTTTCTTTCTTTCTTTCTTTCTTTCTTTCTTTCTTTCTTTCTTTCTTTCTTTCTTTCTCCTTCCTCGTTTCTTGTTTCTTTCTTTCTTCATTTCTTTCTCTTTCTCCTTTCTCCTTCCTCATTTCTTGTTTCTTTCTTCCTTTCCTCCTTTCTTTCTTTCTTTCTTTCTTTCTTTCTTTCTTTCTTTCTTTCTTTCTCCTTCCTCGTTTCTTGTTTCTTTCTTTCTTTCTTTCTTTCTTCCTTTCTTTTCTTTCTTTCTTTCTTTCTTCATTTCTTTCTTCATTTCTTTCTCTTTCTCCTTCCTCGTTTCTTGTTTCTTTCTTCATTTCTTTCTTCATTTCTTTCTCTTTCTCCTTCCTCATTTCTTGTTTCTTCCTTCCTTCCTTTCTTTCATTTCTTTCTCTTTCTCATTTCTTGTTTCTTCCTTCCTTCCTTTCTTTCTTTCTTTCTTTCTTTCTTTCTTTCTTTCTTTCTTTCTTTCTTTCTTTCTTTCTTTCTTCATTTCTTTCTCTTTCTTTCTCCTTCCTCATTTCTTGTTTCTTTCTTCCTTCCTTTCTTTCTTTTCCCCCTTTCTTTTCCTCCTTCTGAGATTTATAGAACCTTGTGGTTACAATGAACATCCAAGCAGAAGCCTAGAGACGCATCTCAGTAGCCGGCCTGCCTGCCGGGAAGATGCATCCACCCCAGATTTGAGTTCTGCCTACAAAATCAGGAGGGCTAAGATAATCTCTACCAAGGAAGGAAGGAAGGAAGGAAAGGAAAGGAAAGGAAAGGAAAGGAAAGGAAAGGAAAGGAAAGGGAAGGAAAGGAAGGGAAGGGAAGGGACTTTCTCTTCCTCTCCTCAAACATTCCCTCCCTCCTAGCACTGATGATGTTACCTAGTTGGGTCGTGAAACATCTGTGAGGAAACCACCCAGCCCAGAGAGCACCAGGGACCCTGCATTTGAACTACAAATGTAATAATTATGTGGGGTTTCTTCTCTTTCCCTCCCTCCCTCTCCCCCAGCTCACTCACGGTGTGATGAACAAGGAGCTCAAATACTGCAAGACGCCCGAAGACCTGGAATGCAACGAGAACGTCAAACACAAAACGAAGGAATACATCAAGAAATACATGCAGAAGTTTGGCATCGTGTACAAACCCAAAGAAGACACCGACATGGAGTAGGATATACATACACACATATATAAAAGTTCTTAGGGACTCGATTCTCTCCTTTTCCTGAGCAGGGTTCACATACTGTTGTGGGTCTGAATACACAAAACACAGATCTGGCCACACAAACGGTCTCCTTTCCAAGATGAATTTGGAGGCCGGCGCAGCAGAAACAGTGGCGAGCAAATGTGTTTGCCACAGCCATCCCTGCTCACAACCAGCTCACTTTGCAATCAGACCCCAAAATTGACCACTAGGGCGGTGCTTCCCGTGCGCAACACAATGTGTGAGTCCATCCCCTCTCCCCACTGAGGTCTGTACAATATTCTATGTGAATATATTGAATTCCTTGATTTCCCCCCCCCCACCCCTCTTTTGTTAGGCCCGGCCTCTTTTTTTTTGCAGCCCAACACCTGTTGATATCATGGGAACACTTTGTAAGAATAGTTTTGGAAAAAAACAAAAAGAAAAAAAAAGAGGAGGGTTTGTTATTTTCTCTTCCATTTTCTGTTTCCTTCAGATTTTTTCAGTTTCTTGTGTGTTTTTTTCCTCCATTGTTCTCTGCAAGTTTTCATGTGTTATCATGTAAATATTTGCAAAGAGGCCAGCTCAAGGTTTTCAGGCAGGCAGGCCGCAGCTCTCTGTTGATAAGATTGATTTACTGCTTTAAAATCATTTTACTTTCTCCAATTTTTACGAAAGTTTTTATGTAAAAGGAAAAAAAAATTTAAAAAATTAAAGAAAATGGCAATGAAAGAAACGCAGAAAAAGTGAATTATTTTACCCACACACACACACACACACGCTGGAAGTCATGTTACCTTGAGGTAGATGGGCAGCCTATAAATTTTATTAAATAAAATAAATGGAACAAAAGTTGGGAAAGGAAAGCTTCTACAGCCAGGGGTCTTCAAACTGGGCCCTTTTATGACTGGTGGCTGAGGAATTCTGGGAGTTGAAGTCCATCAGTCATAAAAGGGCCCAGTTTGAAGCCCCTGTTCTATAGTAAGTCCTCAATTTATGATTGGTTGCTTAGCAACTATTCAAAGTTATAACAGATTACCTGGAGGATTACTACCGCCTGGATTCAAACTTAGGATGGTCAAGTGACCACATGTTGGGCAATTAGCAACTGACCTGCATTTATGCTGGGTTGCAGCACCCTCCATACACACGACCCTGTTTTACAACTGTTTTGCCAAATCTGGCATTTACTCCCAGTTACGACCACTGTGGAGCCCAAAATTTCTGCTGTTAAGCGAAACGGTTGCTCATTGAGTTTTGCCTCATTTTATGATCTTTCTCGCCACAGTTGTGAATCCCTTCAGTTGTTAAATTAGTCACCCGGTCGTTAAGTGAATCCGGCTTCCCCCATTGATCTTGCTTGTTAGAAGATCGCGGAAGGGGATCACGTGACCCCCGGGACATGGCGACGGTCATAAATAGAAGCCAGTTGCCAAGTGTCTGGATTTTTGTCACATGACCACAGGGAGGCTGCAGCAGTCGTAAGTGTGAAAAAGGGTCCTTAAAACACTTCATTTAGCGACTGTTTGAAGTTAACGACGGCAGTAAAAAAAAGTGACTCATGACCGTTTTTCCACATGGACGACTGTCACAACATCCTTGTGGTTACATGATCAGAATTCAGACAGTTGGCAACCGACTCCTATTTATGACGGTCGCAGCGTCCCAGAGTCACGTGACCCCCTTTCACGACCTCCCGACAAGCAAAATCAATGGGGGAAGCCAGGTTCACTTCATAACTGCGCGACTAATTTATCAACTGCAACGATTCATTTAAGAAGAGGCGTGGTAAAATGTGGCAAAACTCCCTTTTAACCACTGTCTCGCTTAGGAACGGATGGTTTTGGGGGCCCCCTGGTAGGTCGTAGGACTGCATGAAGTACCCAGGCTGGCCTTCAGGGGGCAGAGTTGCATTGTCTTGAATGAGGGGGCTCTTGCCAAGACATGGAGGGCTGGGGTTCCCCAAGTGGGGCCCTCTGGATAGTGGGATGCTCGTCCGATTCTCAGTTGGATAACTCCCTGGGCAAAGCAGGGCCCCCGTGCCCCACTCCCTCGGGAAGGACCCCCTTGACACCCAACCATCACACACACACACACACCCAGATTCGGACGTCCTTGGGGCCCCCCTTTGACCAGCCATTTTGAAGGGGGAAGCTTACAAAGCTGGGATCCTGGAGCAGAGTTTGTCAGCCTCTGCAACTGGGGGACGTCTGGACTTCAAAGTTTCCCAGAATTCCCCAGCCAGTCACGGTGGATGGAAAATCCTTGAAGTTTATGGATCAGGTGCCCAGAGGACTCTTTCCCTCCTCTGGGGGTGCCCCACAGCTTCAGAAAGCTACTGAGTGCTCCACGGGGTGCTGTTCTAGTATCTTCAACCTTCACTTCCTTTCTTGCACTGATGACGTTACTTAGCTGGGCCATCAAAACATCTGCAAACAGCAGTCCTCCCCCTCCTGCCCCCTGCAGCCCCCCTCCCTTCTGGCACTAAGGATGTTCCCTAGTTGAGTCACAAAAACGTCTGCAAGAAAAGCCACCCAGCTCAGAGGGCACCAGGACCTCTCAGCCCCCCCCCCTCCTCCTCCTCCTCCCCCAGATCTCCTTGGCTGGCTTGCATCAACAACAGATGCTCCTCCATCTGTTCCCTTCTTTGATGCTCAAGGCCACGTCCACGGGGGCTTTCTGACCAGCGAGCAGCAGGCCAGGAGGAGGACACACGTGTGCACTATGCCAGGAGCCACCAGCCAGCCTGGGCAGCAGGAATCCACACCGCCTGGATTCCCCCTGGGGATTAGCAGGGAAGACCCACCCAATGGAGCGTCTTGGAAGAGAAGCCCCACCTTGGCCTGACCCAGCCTGCAACACACGACTGGCAATTAAAAGCACCTCCAGAAAGGATGTTGTTGGCACCCACCCAAAAATGTCCCTTTGTCCTGTGCTGCAGGATGCCCCCCACACACACACACACTTACAACCATCCCCTCCGTTGGCATTGGGTCTGTTCTTATAGTAACTTGGTAGTCCCCGGAACCCCCTGCCTCCCACCAGGGATTCCTGCCATGTATATATATATATATATAGTGCTTTTTTTCTAAAAAAAAAAAAAAAAAGGTGCCGGAAGTCACACACGTCATACAACCTGCCTTGCCTACCCTACAAGGTTCCATCCAAAAAAGGTTATATATATATATAGCTAGTCCTTGACTTATGACTGTGGCATAAATCCATTGCTAAGCAAGGGGATTGTTAAGTGAGCGGTGTCCAATTTTATGACCTTGTTTGGAATGGCTGTTAAGCGAGTCACTGCCGTTGTTAAATGAAACAGGTGGTTAAGTGACTCTGGCTTCCCTCCATTGACTGCTTATTAGAAGCTGGCTGGGATGATTGCAAAGGGGGGGGGGGAGGGAGGGAGAGAAGGAAGGAAGGAAGGTATTGGAGGAGAGGGAGGGAAGGGGGAAGGAAGGAAAGGAAGGAGTGAAGGAAGGGGAAAGTATTGGAGGAAGGGAAGGAAAAGCAGGAAAGGGGAAGAAAGATATGGGAGGGAGGAGGGAGGGAAGGAAGGAAAGAAGGGATTGTGGGAGGGAGGGAAAGATAAAGTAACATCTGTAGAACATCTGGAAAATACTGGCAAGCCTCCCAGTGAGCTCAGTTTAGCAGTTTTTAGTTTTTTAACGGCCCACCAAATTTCCCCCAGCTGAACCTGTGGCTCACCCTGAAGATTCCCCAAGTCTCCCCCTCAGCACTTCTGCCTCCCTGTGATTCTCCCCAGAAATCAGTCAAAACAAACCCCACCATATTGTGTCCAATTGCAGCCACAAACTCCGGTTATCTACATAAGGAGGGCAGAGCTTCCATTGCATGAGCCTGGGTTCCATCTTGACTTTTTTGACCTTTGGGTGGGTGCAGGTCCAGCAGTTTCCTTCCTTTTTCTCCTTTCTTTCCTTCTTTACCCATCCACTCCTTTTTCTCTGCTTTCTTCCTTTCTCTTCCATCCTTCCTTTCCTTTTCCTCCTACTCTTTTTCCTCTCCTTTTCCCTTCCCTCAATCTTTCATTCCTTCCTTTTCTTCTTTCCTGCTTTCCTTCCTTTGTTCCTTTTTCTTTTTTCTCTGCTCTCCTTCCTTCCCTCTTTTCCTCCCATCCCCCATTCCTTCTCCCATACATTCTTTCCTACCTTTTCCCTTTCCCTCCCTTAATCTTTCCTTCCATTTTTCTCCTTCACTCCTTTTTATTTCCTTCCTTTGTCCATTCTTCATTCCCTTTCTCCAGTCCTTTTCTCCTCTTCCTTCCTTCCCTTTTCCTCCCACCCTCCTTTCCTTCTCCCTCCCATAGGTTCCTTCCTTTTCCCTTTTCTTCCCTTAATCTTTCCTTTTTCTCCTTCACTCCCTTTATTTTTCCTTTCCTGCTTTCCTTCCTTCATTTTTTTCTTTGTTTCTCCATTCCCCTTCCTTCCTTTTCCCCACCCTTTCCTTCTCCCTCCCATTCTTTCCTTTCTTCCTTTTCCTTCCCTCAGTTTTTCCTTCCTTCCTTTTCCTCCTTCACTTCCCTTTTTTCTTTTCCTTTCCCACTTTCCTTCCTTTTCTCCATCCTTCATTTCTTTTTCTTTCTCTGCTCTCCTTCCTCCCTCCCACCTTGTAAATTCTTGCCTAAACCAGGGGTAGGCAACCTTGGCTCTTTTATGACTCATGGACTTCAACTCCCAGAATTCCTGAGCCAGCATGAGGGAAACTTTGGCCCCTTCATGACTCGTGGACTTCAACTCCCAGAATTCCTGAGCCAGCCATACTGAGGGGAAAGGGAGAGTTTCCAAGCTGAGCCATGCTGGCTCAGGAATTCTGGGAGTTGAAGTCCATGAGTCATAAAAGAGGCAAGGTTGCCTATTCCTGATATAGGGTGCCATGCTGGCAGAGGAATTCTGGGAGTTGAAGTCCCCTCATCTTCCTAGTAACTCAGGGGTAGGCCACCTTGGCTCTTTTATGACTTGTGGACTTCAACTCCCAGAATTCCTGAGCCAGCCATGCTGAGGGGAAGGGAGAGATTTCCAAGCTGAGCCACGCTGGCTCAGGAACTCTGGGAGTTGAAGTCCACCAGTCATAAAGCGGCCTAGGCCTAAGGTAGGCAACCTGGGCTCTTTTATGACTCATGGACTTCAACTCCCAGAATTCCTCAGCCAGCCATGCTGAGGGGAAAGGGAGAGGTTTCCAAGCTGAGCCATGCTGGCTCAGGAATTCTGGGAGTTGAAGTTCACGAGCCATAAAAGAGCCAAGGTGGCCTAGCCCTGGTCTAAAGGCATACTTTCAAGAATCTTCCGGAAACACCCCCCCACACACACACACACACTGCCTGGCTGGGGAATCCTGGGAAGCTGGTCTTCCAAGGAATGGGTGAAAGCTGGACCGTCCAATTGCGTCTCAGCTCCTGGACTCTTCGTCAGCCAAAGAGAAGCAGAAGCCTTTGCACGAATTGGCTCTTCCAACCCTCCCTTAAAAGATTCTGGCACTTCCTGGAGAGCTGAGGGGATCCTGGGAGAATCCCACCAATCCAGAATAATTTAATTTATTTGGAAGACACACCAAAACCTCCTTTCAAATCTATAATATAAGGAGATTCCGCTTTCTTTCTCTTTGGAAACCTTGGATGAACAAAAAGGTTTTTATCGCCTTCTGCCCTCTCACACAGTCCATTAAGAACAATTAAAACTTTTATTTAACAGCAAAATTGTGGAAACATCTAGTTTGTACATTTACAATTCTTCTCTTCCAAGAAGGACATCAGCAAAACTCCAGGCATATTTACAGAAGGGAAGTTAAATGTTGTTACCCAAAAAAGGGAAAAAGGCAGTCCTCGATTTATGACGGATCACTTAACAACCATTCAAAGTTATTACAGACTCATAAATGTTTAAACTTCGTTCAAAGATACAGTACCTTGAGGTACAACAGTTTGTTTAGTGACTGTTCAAACTTAAAATGTCACTGAAAGAAGTGATTTACGACCTTATGTTTTTCACACAGCTGTCGCCATGGTTACGTGATCAAAATTCAGCCGCTTGGCAACTGATTCATATTTACGACGGTCGCTGTGTCCCGGGGTCACGTGATCCCCTTTTGTCCAATTCAGTTAACAACCGTGTGACTGACTTAGCAACTAGTGTTTCATTTAACAACTGTGGCAAGAAAAGTTGCAATATGGAATAAAATTCACTTAACCATCTTGCTTAACAACGGAAATTTGGGTCTCAATTGTGGTCGTAAGCTGAGAACTACCTGTATTTTGCTTATTCATTAGATTTGTATGCGTCCCTTCTCGTCTTGAGGCAACTTTGTATGACTGGTCCTCAAAGTTACAACGGCCACCTGACCACCAGGCCTGGCTCTGTGATGGCGTGTTAGGCATCTGGCCACTGTCTCACATTTATGACTGGTTGCAGCGTCCCACGGTCACGTGATTGCATTTGGCAAAAGGTTTTACAGTTTTTCCAGCAAAAGACACGCATTGCATAAAATGTTTGCCCTTCAAGACCAGATGGTTCACTTAAGGACTGTGGTGACTCATTTAATGATGGTCATAAATTGAGTCTGGGAATTGATGTCCGCCCATCTTAAAGTGGCCAAGGCTGAGAAACGCTGTTGTAGAGTGCTGCGTAAACTGAGATAATCCACAGAGGCAACTTAATCTTGGTTTATGGGGTTGGCGATCAGTTAACTATGGTTAATAAAATTCAAGGGAAACAGGAGCCAAACTCAGTCCTGCATGAGGCCACAGGAAGCCAGTCGTAGCAGCCAGAGGTCAAATAAGTCAAAATGGCCGCCACAACTCTATGATTGAAGCCCATCCCCTTTGTAAAGTGGACACCTCTGGATCACCACTTTAGATCTCAGATTGACTGAGTTCACATCACAGATTAGATTCCGTGAAAATCGGTTGAGGGAGGTTGAAGGTTCAGCTCCTTGTAGGAATGTTGGCCAGTTACGTGAAGAAGCCCATCTACGCACCCACCCCCTGAAGCCATCTGGAAGCACATTTGGGTAACAACAAACTGGGTTTGTTAAGCCATGTTCTGCTGGGGGTCAGCCTGGATCCAGCATCTGGTGAGAGTCACATCAAGAAGTTGGCCAAAAGGACCATTAGGGGAGAGAGACAACAACGATGCCGTGCAGGGAATGACCAGTGTGCAAAGGGTTGTCTATGTGTATGTCTGTGTGTGTGAGAGAGATGGGGAGGAGGGGGAGACAAAAAGAGAAAGAATGAAAAAATAAGAAAGAGAATAGAAAGAAAGGGAGAAAATGAAAGAAAGACTGGGAGAGGGAAAAATGGGAAGAGAAGGAGAGAAAATGAAAAGAAAGAGAAAGAACAGAAAAAGGTGAAAATGAAAGGACAGAAAAATGAAAAAACGAGTGAAAGAGAAAAAGAGAATGAGAAAGAATGGGAGAAAGAATGAATGAAAGAAAAAAATGAGAGACGGAATGAGAAAGAAAGAGAGAAAGAACAGGTAGAAAAAGGGAAAGGAAGAAAATGGGAGAATGGGAGAGAGAATGAGAGGGGAAAAAAGAGAATGAAAGAGAGAGAGAGAGAGAGACTTGGGCTGACATAACGGAAGGACGTAATTGACCGAAAACTAAATCGGTGTGGATAGGGCACCACCAGGAAATCCAAAATACTATTCTAGAGAAGGAACATGCCTGGAGGAACGATGGTGTTTTTTTCTTCTTCCTGTTAAGCACCTTGGTAATTTCCATCCAGCCCTCCCTGATGGTTTATCCAAATTTTCCTTTTTTCTTTCAAATCCCCCCGCCCAAAAGCAAAGCCTTATTACAGTATGCAAAGTGTCCTCATCCCTCGACTGTCCTGTTGGTTAAAATATTATTATTATTATTATTATTATTTTAAGGAAAAACCCAGAGTGAGAAAAATGTTGGCGGTCCAGGGTGGGGGGGGAGGGGGGCGGCAGCAACGGAGGGCGGGCAGAGTCTTCACACCACCGAGCTAACCTCGAGGGGCGCGTTCAGACGGTCCGCCACGTCCCCCCGCTCGACGGCAGACAGGGCCTCGCTCAGGGCCTCCAGCGTGGCCCCCTCTTGGGCCGACCAATCGGAGAGCAGCGTGTGGGCAGGGGCCTCCCCCCAGCCGATGGTCTGGATGGTTTCGTCCGCGTAGCCCAAGTGCTGGGCAAGACTGCGCCAGTCTTTGCCTTGGGGGGTGGGCATTTCCAGCATCTGCTCTACTTCCTCCTGTAGAGGGTGGGGGAGGCTGCTGTATAGGCGGGGGTCGGCTCTAGGTCCTCCTTTTGGGGGGGAAGAGAAGGAGAGGAAATTGATTCAGATTGATGCTCTTTCCTTCCTTCCTTCTTTCTTTCTCTCCTTTCTCTGTCCTTTCCGTTTTCCTCATTTTCCTTCCTTTCTTTCCATTTCTTCTTCCTCTTTTCTGCTTCTGCCTTCCTTTCCTTTCTTTTCTTTTCCTTTTTTTCCCTTCCTTCCCTCCTTTACTTCCTTCCTTCCTTTTTTTTCTTTCTTTCTTCCTTCCTGTTTTCCTCATTTTCCTTCTTCCCCCTTTCTACTTTCTCCTTTCATTTCATTTCATTTCATTTTTCTTTTCTTTTTCTTTCCTTGTTCACCTTCCTTTCTTCTTCCTTCCTTTTTTCTTTCCTTCTGTATTTTTTCCTTCCTTCCTTCCTTCCTTCCTCTTTCTTTTTCTCCTTTCTCTGTCCTTTCTGTTTTCCTCATTTTCCTTCCTTTCTTTCCATTTCTTCTTCCTCTTTTCTGCTTCTGCTTTCCTTTCCTTTCTTTTCCTTTTTTCCCTTCCTTCCTTCCTTCTTTACTTCCTTCCTTCCTTCTTTCTTCCTTCCTTCCTTTCTTCCTGTTTTCCTCATTTTCCTCCTTCCCCTTTTCCACTTTCTCCTTTCATTTCATTTTTCTTTTCTTTTTCTTTCCTTGTTCTCCTTCCTTTTTTCTTTCCTTCTGTATTTTTTCCTTCCTTCCTTCCTTCCTTCCTTCCTTCCTTCCTTCCTTCCTTCCTTCCTTCCTTCCTTCCTTCCTTCCTTCCTTCCTCCCTCTCTCCCTCCCACTTCATTTATTTTTTCTTTGAAGAACAGGTTGGATCCTAGCAGCCTGATCAACATCTGAACATTTACCCATAGTAAAAAACCTCTCCACCATGAGGACTAGCAACTCAGGGAACGGCAACCTCACCCTTGTTCAGCGGATGCTGCTCCTGCAGGCTGTGGGTGTCAAGGAAGACCCCGCTGTCTCCGTGAAGTTTCTCTCCTTCTGGGGATGAGGCCAACTCCCCCATCCGGGCTTTGGCCAACTGGTGCTTCTGCTTGCACGTGGTCCAGCTGCATCAGAGCAGGGGGAGATGGTTATTTGGGGGGCTGACCCAAGACCCTCCCCTCTATTTCCCCCTTCAAGCAAGCAAAAAAGCCCTGGCTGGCCTCCCCTCCCTCCTAATCACAGCCAGATCTTGCAGCTGGCCTTAAAAGCAGTGCAAAAAAAAAAAGAGAGAGAACCTCTCTTACTGACATCTCCAGACAGATGGCCGGATGGAGCAGAAGACAGATGAGTGGGGAGGAAGGGCTGGGGGGGGGGGGGGGGGAGTATTGGGGGGGGTGTATGGAGGTTCTGCAGGGAGATGAAGAGATGAACGAGTTGGAAAAGCGGTTATCTGGCTGGGCTTTGATGGCTAAATAAAGGTAGTCCTCAACTTACGACCACAACGTAGCCCAAAAGCTTCTGCTGCTAAGTGAGACAGTTGTTCAGTGAGTTTTGCCCCACTTTTTAAGTGAATCACTGCAGCTGTTAAGTTAGTAACACGGTTCTTAAGTGAAGCCGGCTGCCCCCATTGACTCTGCTTATCAGATGGTCACTAAAGGGGATCACGTGACCCCGGGACACTGCGGCCGTCGTAATATGAGTCAGTTGCCAAGCCTTTGAATTTTGATCACCTGACCTTTGGGATGCTCTGACGGTCATAACTGTGAAAAACTGCATTTTTCACTAAATGGTCACTAAATGAACCATCCATCGTAAGTCGAGGACCGCCTCTCAATAGGAGACTGAAAGAAAAGCAAGGAGCTCTATTGGGAAAAAAAACAGATCCTTTTTCATAAGGAACCAGCCTGCATTAGGCCAAGAGTTTGATCCAGACCCCGCAGAATAAAATGCCTGAAAATCCTTGACTTAACAACCATAATTGTGTTAAAAATTTCCATTGCTAACACAATGCAGTTGTTAAGTGAGTCTTGACCCATTTTATGACCTTTATGGCCACAGCTTCTAAGTCAGGGGTCTTCAAACTTGGCCCTTTTATGACTGGTGGATTTCAACTCTCAGAATTCCTCAGCCAGGCACGTTCACCGAGGAATTCTGGGAGTTGAAGTCCACCAGTCATAAAAGGGCCAAGTTTGAAGACTCCTGGTCTGGATCCAAGCCCGCAGTTTCATCAAAATGGCTGACTGAGGAATTCTGGGAGTTGAAGTCCACCAGTCATAAAAGGGCCAAGTTGGAAGACTCCTGGTCTGGATCCAAGCCCGCAGTTTCATCAAAATGGCCGACTGAGGAATTCTGGGAGTTGAAGTCCACCAGTCCTAAAAGGGCCAAGTATGAAGGCCCCTGTTCTAAGTGAATCCCTGCAAATTTTAAGTGAATCCATCAGCTGGGAAGATTGCAAGTGGTGATCACGTGACCCCAGGACAGGACAAACGGTCATAAATGTGAGCCCATAGCCAAAGGCCCAAATTGTGACAGCCATAACTCAGAGGACACAGGACTTCCTGTACAGCAATGTTTCTCAAACTGGCTGGGGAATTCTGGGAATTGGACGTCCATGCATCTTAAAGTGAGAGGTTGAGGCATCGTTATATTGCAGGCAGGCCTCGACTTACGACAGTTCATTTAGTGACCATTCAAACTTTCCAGGGCAATGAAAAAAAGTGACTTGCGACCGTTTTTCACACTTACGACCACCGCAGAATTCCCCCATGGTCACGTGATCAAAATTCAGACAGTTTGGCCACTGATGTGTATTTACGACGGTCGCAGCACCCTGGGGGCCACGTGATCCCCTTTTGCGACCTTCTGACAAGCAGGAAGCCAGATTCACTTAACGACCGTGTCGTTAACTGAACAACCGCATTGATTCACTCAATAACTTGTGGTGAGAAAGGTCATAAAATGGGGGCAAAACTCACATAACGAATGTCTTGCTCAACAACAGAAATTTTGGGCTCCCATGTGGTCGTAAGTCGAGGACTCTCTGTGGCTTAATTCTAGCTCTAGCAAAGATGTGAGAGGGTGAGGTTGGGCCAAGGATCTTATTTCCCCGCAAGGAGAAATGTAGCTTCTCAGGGAAAGAGGAATGCTATATTTCTAGATTTCTAGAATTTGAAGAAAGCCGGATAGGTCCCACCAGGATAGGGGGGTCCCCCATCCTGTAGACCCCTCCTCACCACAGAGACTTACCATTTGAAACCCACGTAGGCGAGGAGCCCCACCACCACAGCGGCCAAGATGGAGCAGTAGACAGGGATGATGCTGTTGGGGTGGTCGTCCACCAGGGAGGGCACAAACTCGGAAGACGAGTTGGGGGAATCGCTGCCTTCCGCCTCTAGGGGCGCCGTCCTTCTCGGATGGTCCTTCCGGGGTGCCCCTTCAGGCCGTTTCAGGATCTGCAGCTCTTTATCTAAAATTAAAATGAAAGGGAAAATTAAAACGAAGGGGGGGGGAAGCAAACCCCAACACCTAGGAAACAGCTGGGGGTTCCCAGCGGGTTTGTGTGTATTTGTGTGTGTGTGTGTGTCATCTCAAAAAGAGTAAAATAACAAGAGCCCCACCCCTAATTATTTTTGCAAACTCAATTCCCCCCACTACATTTAGTCCTCGACTTATGACTACAACAGAGCCTCAAATTTCCATCGCTGAGCCAGACAATTGTTAAGTGACCTTTGCCCCACTTTACGACCTTCCTTGCCCCCGTTGTTAAGTGAATCCTTTCAGATGTTGAGTTAGGAACACAGTTGTTAAGCAAATCTGGCTTCCCTCGTTGACTCTTCTTGTAGGAAGGTCGCAAAAAGGGATCACGTGACCCCTGGGATGACCTCCAAGGTCCCTTCCAACTCTTGTTATTAGGAGGAGGGGGGAGGAGGAAAGTCATTCCAGCCTGAGCAGGGGGTTGGACTAGAAGACCTCCAAGGTCCAACTCT